TTTATCTTATCTTCAGCATAATGCTAGCGAGGAGATCGTATCACTTCGATGGCTGGATGGTTGCGTTGGAAAGATGGGTTCCTACGGTCAGAACCGATTTTCCTTCCACCATTCCCTTCTGGATCCAAATTCAGGATCTCCCAGAATACCGGTGTTATGAAGATAGAGTAGTTGAAATTGGAGAAAAGCTCGGAGAGCTCCTGGCTTGGGAAATCCAGCCACCATGAGTCCAGGTGGTGCTGGAGAGTGGAGCACCTTTGGTTTTGGATCGAAACCTAGAGTTTAAGAACGGTGACATCATTACGGTCCATTTCCAATACGAGAAGCTTGACTGCTATTGCAAACGGTGCTATCGCCTAACCCACGACAAACTGGATTGCCCGGAGAGGCCTCCAGTACGACAAAGCCGAGGAAATGCTCACCAATATGGTGGAGACGAGGACCGGTGGCGCAAAGGAGATCGGTCTCGAGCCGATTATGTGCCTGCTCATAACCGCAGACATGTCTCTCACCGATCAGTGCAGAGAGAGAACCAGGCTGGAATGGAGAGCACGACTACAAAATCGGCTAGGAGAATACTCTTTGGCGATGAGAGACCCTCCACGAATCACGGTTCGCCCGGAGTTAGTCGAGCACCTATTGACTCGATGCCAAATTGGATCAAGAAACCTCTGTCGGTGGTCAGAGAAGAGAAACGGAGAGGAAAGAGGCCAGTCGGCGGTGATGGCAGCGATAGAGAGGAACAGAGAAGAAAGCCGGTCACCCAGTCTGATGTAGCAACGGTAAGGATGATTCCGGCAGGGGCGACGAAGGATGGCTTTGTCCAAGCGGGATGGTTTCGAGAGTCCATTGAAGAAGCACTGACAGTTAATCATGCCAACTTCTGGAAGTCCATCAGAAAGATGCGGAGTACGGCGACGGAGAAGCCACAGGCGGTGACGGTAATGACGACTGTGGATCCCTCTATTAGGGAGTTGGTGCTGTTGCCGGCGGCTGAGCAAGGTCTCGAAGGTACCATCTCTCCACTAAAGGGCATTTTACAACAATCTGGCCCATTAGGGAAGGGCACAAAGGAAAAGATACTTGCCCCAATGGCCCAAGGCAGATTGAAGGGGCCAAAACAGGGAAAAAGGCTAGAAATGTTCTTGGAGTGAGGAAGAAGATCGGGCACAGCCCCTTTAGACACGTCCGCGTGCAACAACATGCCTCCATAGCGGTCAAGGTTTCACTTAGAGATCAGACGACTCTTTGTGACCTTTCGCCGCCGTCATCTTCGAGGACGGCTCCTCTGTCCGGGGAAAACTCGAAGGAAATACAAGACCCGGTGGTTGGAGAGAAACCACTGGCAATCGATTAAAT